AATAACTTTTTGTCGCAGGGGTTACTGCGACGGTTTATATAAAATAATCCGAGAGAGTTTTTTTTTGGTTTTTATATAACGAGAACTTTAATATAACTTGTAACAAAAGGCGATGAGGTACAGTGTGTAGAAGGTAAAGGTAAACGAGTGACGGATGAGACAGAAATATGGACACGTTGAGAGTCGGAGGAAAACTTGCTAACTGACTTCTCCCGGTCGAGAGGTCCTCGTATTTATTGGGGAGAACGTATTGAAATTGGTAAGGGAAAGTCCTTGGGAAGGGCGAAGGCCTTTCCCGAGGATTTTCCGACCGGGGTGATCCGGGACCTATGGTCCGAAGCTGTGTCCCAACGTTTTTATTGTTTTATTGCGGTGTGTACGCCTTGCGTCGGGAAAACCCGAAAAAGGCATATGCACATCCCGTTTTTGAAGGACGTGTCTGTGGCGGCTACCTCCAGACCCGCCAGCAGAGGGCTCCTCTTCCCGCTAGTAGCCGATCCGTTCCGATCCCTATATATACACCGAGACTTCGTCCTACCCTTACGTCTAAGGCAAGGGCCCGCTAGGATAGCCTTACCGATGAGTCCTCTAGCGGGCCCCGGACGAAACGTCTCCCCTTTTCCTTTTCCATGACACTTACGAACCGCCGCCAAATGTCTTTTTATGTCTGGTCCGCCACAACTTGTAAACAAAGCCGTGAATTGCATTTGCGCTAAGGAAAAAATTACTTAAAATTACCTCAGGAACTCTCCATTTCCGAATTGCGAGACATTTTTCGAACACCCTGTATACTACTCACCTACGCAAACATATAAAGCAACAAGCACACGCGCCTGAGGTGCTTCAAGCCGAAAATGGTAATCACGGGGTGCAAGACGCGCGATGGGAGTCGGGAGGCGTAGCACTCGCGACCCTCGTGTTGCACGCTGGTTAATTCCGAGCCCTGGCATACGCGTGTCGCGACGCACGTATCCTCCTATGAAACGGCTCGAATGTGTCTCGATAAACGCACTATTTCTTTCAGCACTCCAAAACGAACGAGTGGAGGATGCCGTACGGAAAGCTTCACGTTCTTCCGTTAAGCCTGTTTATCCTAATTCCAGTGACGTTTCTAATTACGTAAGTCAATTTTGGCAACATCGCGTTGAAATAGATTGTTTTCTGATTTCTGATTCTGAACACTAGATTTACGGATGGTGATGTTGATTGTGTACCTATTTTTATTGAAATGAGCCAATTTAACACATACAACAACATCGAAGATTTTTGCAAAAAAAGTAGTTCAAAATCAATTTTAATGAAAGGATCACACACACACACACACACACACACACACACACACACACACACACACACACACACACACACACACACACACACTATTAAAAACTACATTGAAAACATTTGTTACGCTATGTAACGAAAAACTGCATTTTCACTTTCAGTTTCAGAATTAGAAATAAATCTGGCTTTAAGAGTGAGAGAGAGAGAGAGAGAGAGAGAGATATGTATACAGGGTGTCCCACGTAACACTTTTTACAATTTTTCAAATACTTGCGATGATCTGACAAAAAAATGTTTTACGCAGAAGTTAATCGGTTTTCGATTGGTTATAAAGTGCGATAAAAGAATCTCCAAAAAATTTTTGTTTTGTCACAATTATTAATGTCATCTGCATTTTTTAAATGTCACATTATGTCTTTGACTTAACAGCGTATTAAGACGAATTCAATGATCTAGTATGTCATAACCTTCGGATGATTTGCGAATGATTTTTAAGGCAGACAAATGAAAATTTCAACAAAATATGACAGTCAGTTTGGATGGGTGATAATAACTTGTGTTTATTATTAAGGCTATTATTAAGTGAAAAATATAAAGTGCTATTTAAAAAGAAATGAAGGTGACCTTGATAATTACTGAAAGACACATTTTTTTGAAATGTATAGCTATTCGAAAATCGATCAACTTTTGTTTAATAATTGAAAAATCGGGAAAAGTGTTACGTGGCACACCCTATATAATGAAGAACTTTATCTTCACTGCTCGAAAATTCAATTGTATGGCTTCTTCCTCTATTTCAATTTCGTTATCGCATATGTAGTTCCATATCCGTTGCATCTGATTCATTAGCTGATTAGTCTTTCCTTATTTGTATTAGTTTTTTTTAGCAAAAGCAAATTTTTCTGATTTTTCTTTACCATAATAGCAATCCTACGTAATTAGATGTAAAATAAATATCAATTAAAATACCTTTTACACATTGATTTCATAAAATTATATTATTTCACTAAAAGTGATCTGATCACACACGATACATAAATCGAAATGATGAAAGAGGTGGTTAAATAAGGCCTTTTTTGATCTCAGCTAACTAATAAATTGACGAGATCGAACATGAATGTTTACGTATTAGGTGTTTTTAAAATTCTGATAAGAACTTTCTTCATGTAAGCTATAAAATTCTTGTGTTTAAGACGATTAATTATTAAATTATTTTATGAGTCAAATTGGCTCACAACCATAAAAATAAGTATACTACTACCCCTCGTCGGAGGGGAGGAATTAATATTTACATATATTTTATTACGTAACTAAAAACCAACATGTGTATTTAAAAAATAATATTTGTTGCGACGGCAACACCGAAGGTCGAACGTCCCTGGCCATCCCTTGAGCAATTAAGCGATATACCTGCGACACTAAAAAATGCACCCAAACGAAAATACCCTTCGACCCGACGAACGGACAACACGACTCATAAATTCCATATTTCCCAAAACGGAAAATTTACAACCCGAACTTTCGAACAGTTTCCCACTCCTCATTTCAAGTTCCTTCCGACACACCCATCACCAATCAAAAACGCTTCATTTCCTCCACCAAAACCCACCATACACCAATCAACAGAATTGTTAGAACCACCAGAACTGTTAGAACTCCCAGAACTCGTAGAACTCTAAGAACGCAGATAGAACGCAAATAACGCATCGCTAAGACCATAGCTGTACTATAGTATTAAAGTGTACATAAAATCAACCAGCGACTTCCTTCATTTGGAAACATCGCGCACATACAATATTTAAATTAATAATATTTATTACACATGTTGGTTATAATAAATATATATATATATATATATATATATATATATATATATATAATATATATTTAAAATTTTATTACTATATATATATAGCAATAAAATAAATAAATAAATATATATATATTTTATTGCTACATATATATATAGTAATAAAATTTTAAATGAGTCAAATTGGCTCAGTCCGTAAATCTAGTATTAAATAGAAAGCATAGCGAAGCAGTTACTTCCGATTTAAGAAAAAACATTGAAGCAGCTTTTCTCATTCTACGGTGAACACGAACCTGCGATTGCATATCGAGAACGTTCATCGACCTGTTGACGGTCGATCAAGGCCGCGATATCGGAAACACCGATCAACTGAACAAGGTTTCCGTTATGATGATGTAAATCATGATTAGCGGGATGCATTATGCCCCGCTGTGCGATGCGTGCCCCTTTCGATGCGAGACATTGCTCTCCGAATAACATATGCTTCAATGGAGGATACAATTTAATGAATCATAATGATTCGCAATCTGGAACTTGTGTTTCTGCCTAATGGTCTTGTTTGATTGTTGTTGATTTTATTTATCTCTACTTGACGGATTTTCGAGTTCCGATAGAACTTGAATTATTGTCGACATAATATGCATATTCAAAATACTTCATCTGTATCTGGCGCATATAAACAACTAAAAAAACTATATGTTTTACAATTGTTTCAGTTATAACACCGACAGCGTAAAATATATCTCCCTGGTGTTATTAATAGACTGCGAATCTTATCGTATTTACGATAAACACGGATGTATCAGATATAGAATAGTCATAACTGGCTGCAGATGTTTATGCAAATACATATTTTTATAGGAAAATTTAAATTTTCATGGGACTCGTAGAGAAATTTGTTTTATCATTAGTGGATTCCAAAAATATAATTCCTTTTTGCATATTTTGCATATTGTTTAATAGTTACATATTAATTCTCCTAGCGAATATGTATTACGAAGATCAAATAGTTAGTTAGTTCACGATGCAGCTTCTTCACGTCGTTTGATGAATAAAAGGCCACTTCATGAAATGAAAGACGCCAATTGACAATTCAGAATATAGACAAAATAATCGTAACAAATTGTAATGCAAATTACGGTAAATAGTAACAAGTATAGTAATAGTAATAGCAGTAGTAAGTAGTAATAAATAGTGCAGATAATAAAACAATTTGCATATAGTTTTCATACATTTCGTATTCCTGAATATATTTTCCATTTATTTTGCATATATTTTGTATATTCCGATTCTTGCATGAACAACCGCAGTCTGGTCATAACTTTAGAGAAATTTCAAGATACCGTTATATTCTTTACAACTTTTGGTAAAATTACTAGAAGGAGGAATAAATTTGAGTGCAATACCTATTTTTTGCAATTGATGCACACAATTTCTATTTTGCATAAAGGTCGGCAGTCTAGTTATTACACTCGTAGAAATTTGATCGTTCACCGAAAGTGCATAGGAAAAGTAAAAGTAGGAACCATGGCTGGGGACAATTTGAAATAATTTGATATAAAATAATAAACATTGAAATATTTACACGATTAAATATTATTTGGAAATATTATTTCATTAAGTGTTTAACATTCGGACTGCGAATGTATTTAATCGTCACCTAATTAGTCAATTTTTCAGCAGTTCGAATAAGTAAATGGCTGTTACATTAGGAACAATGGAAAAACTAATAACTCTGCACGAAGTATGTTCAAAAAATATGTTTTAGAAAAATTGATGAATAAAGCTGAGAATCGTCCTAAACATCATCCATTGTATAATTGTGAAAATGATCTGCGCTCCGCCCTTGGAAGGCAGTAGTATTTTCTTGTAATTTAACCCTTTAAATTACGAGAAAATACTATTTACTCTTGAGACTCGAATTCAAATACAGAAAATACTTTTATTTTAATAGGCGACGATTTTAATGGCCTTGAAATATGTTGTCAAGGTCACCATTCTGAAGAACATTTTCCTTCATAGCTTTTGACGATCGGCGTTAGTTTCGAAGATTAAAAAACAAAACTGTTGCTACTAGGCTAGATGTCCCAGTTTCCATGCCTGTCCAATTAAAAACGTTCTTTTATTATGTTTACAACATGTAAGATTATGTTATCAACATGTAAGATTCAAGGAGATGTATCAATTACATTATTATCAAATATGTTTTTAATCCGGGGGCACGAAAATTGGCATAGGCACGAAAACTTAATCATCCACCCTAGTATGTACTATCATGTTTTATAAGATATTGTGGCGGACCAGACATAAAAAGACACGTCCTTCAAAAACGGGGTGTGCATATGCCTTTTTCGGGTTTTCCCGACGCAAGGCGTACACACCGCAATAAAACAATAAAAACGTTGGGACACAGCTTCGGACCATAGGTCCCGGATCACCCCGGCCGGAAAATCTTCGGGAAAGGCCTTCGCCCTTCCCAAGGACTTTCCCTTACCAATTTCAATACGTTCTCCCCAATAAATACGAGGACCTCTCGACCGGGAGAAGTCAGTTAGCAAGTTTTCCTCCGACTCTCAACGTGTTCATATTTCTGTCTCATCCGTCACTCGTTTACCTTTACCTTCTACACACTGTACCTCATCGCCTTTTGTTACAAGTTATATTAAAGTTCTCGTTATATAAAAACCAAAAAAANTTATTGTTTGTTTTATAATTTTGTTTTGTTGATGTAATCGCTATCTATGCGAACTCTTTCTCTCGTCACCTTGTTGCTTGGACGATATCACTATCACTGCTATCAAAACGATAGACTAACGGTAGAAGAAAACCTTTGTGGCGGACCAGACATAAAAAGACACGTCCTTCAAAAACGGGGTGTGCATATGCCTTTTTCGGGTTTTCCCGACGCAAGGCGTACACACCGCAATAAAACAATAAAAACGTTGGGACACAGCTTCGGACCATAGGTCCCGGATCACCCCGGCCGGAAAATCTTCGGGAAAGGCCTTCGCCCTTCCCAAGGACTTTCCCTTACCAATTTCAATACGTTCTCCCCAATAAATACGAGGACCTCTCGACCGGGAGAAGTCAGTTAGCAAGTTTTCCTCCGACTCTCAACGTGTTCATATTTCTGTCTCATCCGTCACTCGTTTACCTTTACCTTCTACACACTGTACCTCATCGCCTTTTGTTACAAGTTATATTAAAGTTCTCGTTATATAAAAACCAAAAAAAACTCTCTCGGATTATTTTATATAAACCGTCGCAGTAACCCCTGCGACAAAATATTTCAACATCATAGAAATCGACGAAGAAGATCGATAAGTTCACCATGTTCACATATATTTCTTGTGTTGACAATCAGTCAGTCACGTCCTACATAAACGGTTATAATTATAAAACTATATCATCATGTGTATCAGTTCTACAGATAACACTGATGAATTACCGTTGCTACTAAATGGAAAATTCTTTACGAGCCGCTATAATATAATAGATAATAGATAATAAAAATTCTAATATCAGTGCACAATGTGTTAATTGTAATAAAGAGAAACCAAGGGGCTGTACGTTCTACATAAAATTTTCTATTACATTATGTTACTCATATATGTTTATGTACCGGGTATTTCACCTAACTTCTTCTTAAATATTCTTCTTCTTCTTCATCTTAAATATATCGCTAATTTTGTATGATAGAAAAAATGTCATGAGGAGAAAAATATTATGTTCAAAGGCGCCAATACGGTGACGGACTGAATTTTTTCGAGGTCATTTTTTTCGAGATTTTAAGGTCATCGTATTTTTTAAAGATGGGGCTACATATTTTCACTACAGCAGTCTTATAGCATATAAAAAAACAAATCCAACAAGGTGCAACATGTTAAACTTCACGCGACCTTTAGCGAAAAAATCATGAAATGTTTGTCAGTAATTACAGTATGCGTTCAGGGACAATAAATGAAGGAATTTCAATTTGATTGGAACAGTGTATCGTGTAATTCTCCCTGGTGCTTGTAAACAGACATTCGTATTCTCCTTTCATTGCCTAAAGTGTGTTTACAAGCATTAGTATCAAAGCGATAATCTTAGCAGATGATTATCGCTCTACAATCAGTATCGGTACAACAAGCTACAGTATCGCAAGGTTATATCATAATGATATTTCGATTGCAAAAAAATTATCAAGCATACACGAACAATATGATTTAAACGTAAGTAAAATAACGTGTATAATTACTGATAATGGGAGTCATTTCTTAAAGGCTTTCAAAGAATTTAATTACCATAAGAATTTAACAAATGATAAAAATGAAGAATTAGTACACTATAACAATGAGTATTGTCGCAGGGGTTACTGCGACGGTTTATATAAAATAATCCGAGAGAGTTTTTTTGGTTTTTATATAACGAGAACTTTAATATAACTTGTAACAAAAGGCGATGAGGTACAGTGTGTAGAAGGTAAAGGTAAACGAGTGACGGATGAGACAGAAATATGAACACGTTGAGAGTCGGAGGAAAACTTGCTAACTGACTTCTCCCGGTCGAGAGGTCCTCGTATTTATTGGGGAGAACGTATTGAAATTGGTAAGGGAAAGTCCTTGGGAAGGGCGAAGGCCTTTCCCGAAGATTTTCCGGCCGGGGTGATCCGGGACCTATGGTCCGAAGCTGTGTCCCAACGTTTTTATTGTTTTATTGCGGTGTGTACGCCTTGCGTCGGGAAAACCCGAAAAAGGCATATGCACACCCCGTTTTTGAAGGACGTGTCTTTTTATGTCTGGTCCGCCACAAAGGTTTTCTTCTACCGTTAGTCTATCGTTTTGATAGCAGTGATAGTGATATCGTCCAAGCAACAAGGTGACGAGAGAAAGAGTTCGCATAGATAGCGATTACATCAACAAAACAAAATTATAAAACAAACAATAACAAAATTATAAAAAATAAAATATTGATTTTACACCGTACGCCTTGCGTCGGGAAAACCCGAAAAAGGCATATGCACACCCCGTTTTTGAAGGACGTGTCTTTTTATGTCTGGTCCGCCACAGTATAATAACATATAGTACTCATCGAGAGGAACAAAAGTCAGAAAAGAACAACGTAACTAAAGTCAACGCTTTACATTAAAAAAACCTTGTTAACAACGACATGTTTTATATAGGGTGTCCCCAAAATCGTGGTACAACAGGCCAGGAACTGATTCTACATGCAAAAATAAGTCTCAAAAATATAACATTCGTGCATTTAAGGCTACGTTTTCGAGAAAAATTAGGTTGAGAAAATGCTAGGTGTTGAATGAGAATCAAGTGGCGCGTCTGGCCATGACATACCAATTCTACTTCTCGTTATACTACAAGCTACGCGAACTTGACGCATCTCCCAACTCAATTTTCTCGAAAACGAAGCCTGGAATGAAAAAATTTTACTGTTTTTTCTGGACCTATTTTTGCATGTAAAATAATTATCCGGCAGGTTGTACAACGATTTTGGGTTTGGTGAACGTGTGGCATGTCATTTCTATCAAACTTTTGTTCCTCTCGATAAGTACTACATGTTGCAAACAAAAAATTTGACCCTTGATTTTCATGGCTTTTCTCAACTTCTTAGTACCTGTTACTTTTCTTTAATCCTTGATTTTAATTCAATATCATCGTAATTCGTAATTAATGTAATTGAAATACTTAGTATTTTGTAATTGTGCTCCTATTGAATTACGAATTACGTTGTAATTTAATTGAATGGTGGTCTAATCAAGAATTACAATGTAATTGATTTACTTTGTAATTATTGTTCCTTGAGTAATTCAATTATAATTCTGTACAACTCTCTAGGCAAGTATTAGTGTGCACTCGATTCAAATAGAACTGCTTCAGTATCTCAATGATAATGTTACATCATTTCAGAGTTCTAAAAAATACCTAACACTTAAAAATCCACTTCTAAAATATAGTACCAGAATACTATCTTCTACACCCGTGGAACGTTTATTTAGTTTTGCACAGCTAGTATTAACATCTGAACGAAATTCATTAAAAGAAAGGTGTGTTCGAAACATGTGTTCTTTTCAAAGCAAAGTGAATCAGTAACTTACGTAAACTTTTCTATAATGTTTCCAGTTATTTATCCAGAAAATAAATGT